GCACCATTTTCCAGAAGGAGGGTCATGCGCCAAAGATGAGTTTCTCTAGTGTCAAGTCTTCAGTTGAAGCCCTGCCCCGATTGGGATCAGGTTGCCTCCAATATCCCGGTCGTGAGATGGGATCAGAGGCCCTGAAATTATGATGCCCTGATCCAACTGCCTCTATTTGACAAGCATCTGTTTGGTTCTGATTTTCTAATCTGCTTTTAAGCCATGAACTGGTATGCAGGTGAGATTTTTTTGAATCATAATGAATGGTAAACTGTAGCTGATATGCATGTACATAAATACACAGATCTGAAAAGTGTGTTCCTATTCCCTTCCGTCATTTTCACAGTTTTTATAGCGCTTTTTAGATCAAAACTTCCTTTTTCAAAAATATCAGCCTGGTGGACCAGCTTTCTCATTATTGACAGTTGGAGTCAATGAGGAGACAAAAAATCTGGGATTTGTCCATGGTAGAATTAGTCTTAAAATATACTATAGCTTCACCTCCCCTTCTATCTTTCTCCAGTCACCCTGCTGAAATGGCACAGAATCTCCACCCTCCCTCAGTCCTAATAAATGCCAGGGATCGCTAGATTCCTCAGGTGGTCCTTGACTTACAATCACAGCTGGGAGCAGAGTCTGTAACACCATTGTAAGTCATTGTGGACATAAGTTGAGTCATGTAGTGGTAAGTTGACTCATGCTGCCCTAAGTTGAGTCGTGCCATTGTTAGTGCAAATTCAGCTTAAACCATTGTAATATTTTTTGCTGGAAATTGCCAAAAAGTGTCACAAATTTCAATCACATGACCTTGGAATGCTGCAAACATGTTTAGTCTACAAAAGAGACAACTGAGAGGAGATACGACAGAACTTTTCCAATATCCAGAAGGTTGTTCCAGGAAGTGGACAGAGAACAAAACCAGTGGGTTAAAACTAGAAGGAAGGAAGTTACTGTCAGGAAGAATTTCCTTACTCTACAACCTACCACTCCATGAAATAGGCTGCTACGTGACATATTTTTTTTGCTGGAAACCTACAGACAGGCTGGATGGTTATTTCCAGAGACCTCTAATGGATTTTGCACTCTACAGAGGGTTAAACTCTACGGTTGCTTCCAACACTGGGATTTCATTGCATAGTGGGGATTTATATGATCCTGTTTAGGTGACGAATTCATAAGGGAGAAGGCTTTCTCTTGAACGAGGGCCAGTCAATGAAACTGAATTGTGGAAAAGTAAGAGTAGATAAAAGGAAACATTTGTTCACTTGGTGCATAATTAACTTATTCTTTCACCATCCTAGGATTCAGCAGTGCTCCCAATTGGAACAATGTTCAAAGAATAATAAAATAAATACGTAGCACTAAGACAATTTAAAGCTATGATCCTTGAGGGCTATCTAATCCATCCAGCCACAGAGGCAGGCGGTTCTGACCACCAGGGCAAGTAGGAAGAGGCCATGAAAATCTATATTCTGCATATGGATGCTCACCTTAGATGGGTCCATGGGGGGCTGGGCTGGAGTGGCTGGATTATGTGGGATTAGGATAGGGATAGATTTAGGTTTCCACCATGGAGTTCACCAAAGGTCTCTATACTAGAGTATTTTCCTTAGCTCAAGCTGCTTCACAAGGATAATTGTGAAGCTATACTTGGAGATATTTTACAAATGCACATTATTACTATTTTAATTTTGCCTTTATTTGCTTGAGCCACATTTGGACTGAACAGAATACAGGAAAAAAATGACACAGCAACGTTACCAAGCAACAACAACAACAACAACAACAGTAGCCATTTAGAACATTATTTAGAATGAGGTATTCACTTTTTTCAGCTTCCTAGCACGAAGGGATAATTTGACTCAAGGGACATTCAGTTAAATCCCATCTTCAGATCCATTTGATGCATCAAATGTAGGTTTGAAATATCGTTGTAACTTGTTTTCTGTAAATGGCAAAGCCGGGAGGGATGGCTACTCAGTGCATGGTTGGATACTGAACGCGGGATTCATTCAGACAATTATATATCACCTCTACAAATCTTGTCGTTGTGTGTTCATGTCTCACACTTTTACTAAAATGTGCTTAAGCAGGCTCATTTGGGAGAAGAGTTGCAGGTAACATGTTATTTTTCCCAAAGAGACTAAGTTGTTGGCCCAAAGATTAAATCTTCAGGTGTGCTGGACTCCTTGATATTTAGTAAGAACTTACTCTGGAAATATTTTTTAACTGTTACTATTTACAAGATGGAGTAAAAGTGCTATGCTGTTTTTTCCCCCCATTGTACTATGTGTCTTGGTTTGGTTCAGGGAGAGCGTTTTAAAATATATATTTACAGTTGTGCAATGAAACCTTGGGTGTTATCCATCTGAAATGTTCTCTATTGCCTTCAAATGAATCCACCATCTGTGTTGTTCTCCCATTCGTCTAAAGGGTAAGACAGATAGGTGTTTTGGTATTTCTGTATTACAACAATGCCCATGTTTTGGTTGCATTAAATCTATTTGATCAAATTTATCTTGTCTTTGAATCTCACATTTCAAGTGAAATTTGACTTTTTAGTAGTCACTAGACGTGCTTGCTTTGGCAGAATACCTGGCTACAGAGGATGGAGGAGAGCCTTCCGACTTTTGTAACAGTGGATGTAACAGTGGATGAAAAAAGCATTAGGGAAAGGATTATTTTTAAAAAGATTCAGGAATTGTCAACACACAAGCAAATTTCTTTCTGCATTAGCTTGACTGAAAAAAGATTTATTTTTATACCTGCTTGTCTTTTGGAAACGGTCCCTCGGATGAATTAAAGAAATGTTCAGAGAGATGGTAACAATCAAATTTACATGGACAGAAACAAGATTGAAACTTGAAGCAAAAGAGCAGCCTGTCATTCAATGAAGCATCAACAGGTAGAAAGGCTGCACCTATATTGTAGTTTAAGTAAAATAAACCCTGAACATTTCAAAAAGTACATGTTGTGAAAGAATCGTTTCAGAAAACCCCATTGCAGTTTCATAATCGTATTTATTGAGAAGTATTATATCTTGAGGCAAAGCAATGATGATGGAAAAATTAGTGTGACTGGCAGCTACCACTTGCTGGTATTAAGCAAGTTCTAACACAGGCATCTAATATTGGCTCCTGTTATTCTAAGTAGTTGGAATTATTCCAGTTCTTGTTTCAAAACAAAACATGTAAACGGCATTGGTTCATGATCTGTGACTGTGCGTCCTACTTTGCTAGGTATGTGTGTGGGGGTGGGGGGGCTGTGGATGTGGAGTTTACAGAGACCAAAAAGTACAGTAAATAAGAAGAGTGTAGATCTTTGCACTTTGCTTAGATGGGCGTTTGAATGGAAGCGGCCTCTCAAGGCTTCTTCGTGATCTTCTCTTCTGGAAGTGAAGAGGTTCTTGTGCTTATTTGCTGCTCATTTGTGCATTTGCATAAATCTGTGCTGTGGCGTTTCTGGGTCTTTCCTATGTCCCAATGGCAGAAGAGACTAAGGTTCCTCTGTCGTTGAGCTGAACAGCATTTGATGATCCATCTCTGGGTCAGAAGGAAACTGTATAGGCAGGACCCTTGCAGACTTCTATACCAGTGGTGGGATTCCATTTTTCTTTTTTACTACCAGTTCTGTGGGTGTGGCTTGGTGGGTGTGGCTTGGTGGGTGTGGCTGGGGAAGGATACTGTGAAATTTCCAGTCAGAGGTGGGATTTACTGGTTTTCCGAATTACTCAAAATTTCCACTACCGGTTCTCCAGAACTGGTCAGAACCTGCTGGATACTACCTCTGATATATACCAAATTTGTGGTGCTTCTATTGTTGGCATCACTGATGCAATGATATGTGGGAAAGACTTCGAGAAACCAGGTGAGGAGATGCTGCTTAGGGAATGGTCAGTCGGTCAGTCAGTCAGAATAGAGCTGGAAGGGGGCTTGGAGATCTTCTAGTCCAGCCTCCCTAGACCATTTCGGACAAGGGATGAGTGAAATGACAGCATTTCAGACAGTCTGGAAGAGGTAGCAGAGCCCAGAGCTGAACAACGGGTGGAAAAAGAGGCTGAGAAGGGACACACACACACACACACACACACACACACACACACACACACAGAGTGCCTCGGCCTGTAAAAGAGGCAGGCAGGAGATTTGTCCTTGCAAGATCCCATGAATGTATTCTCACAATGAGATAGAATTAGGACATCCGGTCATGTTTCTTCTCTGATTCACCTGGGAAGGCTAACAACTGCAAAGGATTCTGCAGTGTATCCTCCTCTTTTTCCACCGTTCCTTCATTTTAAATAAATAATCATTCATTTTAATAAAGAATTCTGTTTTTGATTTGGCATGCATTTCCCTGCCCTCCTAGATGGGCAAGTGGAGAATGTTTCTGTTACGAACTAAGCAAACGCATTGGTTTTGAATCCTAACAGTTTTACTTCCACAGCAGGCTCGTAATCCTGCACTTCTGATTGGCCCGCAGTTAGCAGATCGTGATTGGCCGTCTCTGACTAATCTGATTGGCTGACAGCGGGTCGCCGCTGATTGGACGCTTCCAGCGCGGCAAACTTAAATCATTGGACATTGTGACAGCAGCCAGCTCTATAAAAGGAGCTGCTGCTGCCCAAGCGCCCCGTTCCTTTTCTGAAGTCACTAATAAAGAGTTGAGTCACTATTCGATGCCTCATCTCCGTTCCTTGCGCCCACTCCTCCAGATCTAACAGTTTCTATCCCATTAGCAGTAGTTTAAGTTGCATCAAAGGATAATTGTAAATTCAGTGCATCAGTCAGCAATAAATGTCATGCATTTTAGAAAAGTTAATATAGTGGCACATTAAAACTGGAGTTTGTTCTTCCAGTTTTGGGTTCTAGAATGGCTATTAACCAAGGGACAGAGGTCTGAAAAATGCTGCATAAATAAATGAAGCAGCTCTATATGGTTCTTACTCATCTATTTACTTATTAGAACAGGTCATTATTCTGTACATTAACAATATTTTTTTTCTTTTGTCCTACAGAAATGTTTGAATCCAGCAATATAGCTACTTTCCATGGACTGGTCAATAGTTCTAGTTACCACACATTCCTTTTGGATGAGGAACGGAGTAGACTCTACGTGGGAGCAAAGGACCACATATTTTCTTTCAACCTAGTCAACTTCAAGGATTTTCAAACGGTACTTTTCATCTCTTTTCATCTTTAGATGTATGTCCATGGGGGTAAGATGACCGATGGGGTATGAAGCTGAATTTTGAGCCACTTGGTTACGCAGGTCCATTTGCAACATTAGAAACGCTCATTAAAAAATGATTTGGTGTGGGTAGAATGCGTGAACCCATTCCAAGACATGCAGAACAAGGAAAAGCTGAGCAGGATATGCAGTAGTTTCCTTTTCTCTTTGGTCTTCTACATTTATATCACTGTAGTTGGAATTTCACCTGAAGTTTGAGTAGGATCTTCAGACCGAATTGCAGAATTGGTTTGGTGAGTTGAATTTTAAAAAGTGCATCCAAAGTAATTCAGAGATTAGATGGACTTTTGCCCAAATACCCCAACACTTGTAGAGTCAAATACCCGAAGATTGCTCAGAAGACTCATTCTCTGCCCCCTGCAGAGGGCAAGAGAAGAACTGGTGGGTTAAAACTACAAAGAAGAAGGCTCAGAACTTTCTCGCTGGGTAGAGATTTGTCCGAAGGAGGAGATCCAACCTGGAATTGAGGAAAAATGTGCTGACAGTGAGAAAAATTCACCAGGGGAACAGCTTTCTCCCCAGCATTGTGAGTGCTCCATCGCTCCAGGTGCTCCAGAACATACTGGACAGCTGTCTGCCTGGGGTGGGGTTGGGGCTGCTGCCTTGGGCAGCTCCAAGGCCCCTTCCAGGATTCCAGGACTGCCTGCACTGTCAACCAGTGGAACAGCCACCCCACAGAGACAAGTTTCCCATTACGAGAGGTCTGCAAATAGATGCCCTGCCAGGGACGTTCTAGTGGATCCTACACCAAAGTGGAGGTTGGGGAAAAGGTGATGTCTAAGCGAACTCTTCCAACTCTACAATTGAAGCTATTCAGCTGAGTTTACTTGACTGCTGAATCACAACATTCAGATGGACTCTTTGAATCAAATTGCAAATGTGAATCTACTCCTGGTTGATTCAGGCAAAAAGGGTGACAGAACAGTGGGGTTCCCTTTGTAACCATTGAGAAAACAAACACAAAATTTCAAGGGAGAGGAAAGAACCATTTCATCCACCAGGAGCCTCCAAACAGCATCCTGGGAATCTCATAGATTTAATCTTCATCAGCTCCTGACGTTGGGCACCAGATTAATTTATGTACATCCAATCCAGTGAATGGTGATCATTTGTCAAAAGTTCAAAACCCAGTTTGTTCACACACAGAAGGAAAATACGGATGATAAAGGCCAGAGAGAGTTGAAAGCACTAAATCGTATAAAGACAACGAATCTGATTTAATTCTTCATTGTATTACTTCAGGTGCTTCCATCCAGAGGATCAAAGCTATGAATAAATCATTTTACATGGAATATTGGTGGCAACAACATGATGGACAATTTGGATTTGATTGAAAACAGGGATTTAGGTTGGAACCTAATAGCCATTTCATTATGAAAGCATACGTGTAAATAAAACATTAACAATAAGCATAGCATAACTATATTTTCATGAATCCTCAATCAAGAATTATTGCTTTAAAACTGGCAAGTTCTGCTTTGCATTAATCCATGACCCATTAATTCCTTGCATGATAAAGGTTTTTTTTCCAAGTCCTGAGTGAAGATTTGTGTTTTCTGAAGATCAAGATCCAAATAAAATTGGCAATTTCCTATTCTCTCAAGAGCAGCCATAAAAGAAGTGAGTTGTTTATTTGGATGTTCTGTGAGGCTCAGGATGTCATGCAGAAACATCTGGAATCATTAGAGAAACAGACTACTGCTATAAGTAAAAAAAAGGGGGGGATAAACAATTTAGGGTGAATTCACACATGGACGCTGTTCTCTGTTCACCCACCTGTGTGGTGGTCCCAGATCATAAATGCATGGACCATAGACTTGGATGGGGAAGGTGCCCTGGTTCCTTACTGAGATACTGGATGTAAGAAAACCAATTGGGATCGTTGGTCCTTGGCCCCATTTGCAGTTTTTACACAGTGTTGTTCAAGATGCCTAGACTCCTCCTTCAGCAGAGCTTCAGGCCTTCCTGAAAATATTCGGGTATTTTGTTAGCGATGCTGCAGTCACAAAATCCACCATGAAACCTGCCCCTGCCTTTGCTATCCTTTGGCCTAATGACCTTAAATGAACTTCTTCCTGCTTTATCTGCACATTGATTTAAGATGAAGGTGATAGTCCAACCACACAGCCCATTTATATTGCATGACGTTGAAATCTGATCATGTTTTATTCTATGTGCAATTTTAAAAGCTTTTCAGAAGACATAAATAATTAACTAAAAGGGGCTTGGGGGCTTTTGCACTGGAAGATGAAATTGATTGTTAAGAATTAATCCCAAACATAACCAGAAGTGAAATCTTGAATCGTTGTAGAATAGTTGGGACAAACCCATCAGGATAACAACCTCAGAGCATCTTTAATGCAGGAGTTGACTTCTAGTGGTTATTATTATTATTATTATTATTATTATTATTATTATTATTATTGTTGTTGTTGTTGTTGTTGTTGTTGTTGTTGTTGTTGTTGAATGGCATCTTCCATTATTTCCACGCCCGCTGAGTTTAGGGTAACTGGAGTCCGACAAGCCAGTGGGAGATGCTGGTGCCACAACGGTTTCTTCCACAGGACAAGTGACGCCCATCCCCTCTAACCTTCCGCTTTCCAAATTTGTCAGATTTTTTTTCCCAGTCCAGCAAGAAAGAATTAATTTGTCCTCTATTTATGTTGGTATTTATCTTCCATTCACAACTCAGAAATATCCAGCATATTTAGAAATGACATTTCTAAATTTCATTGGATCACTGTGTTGTAGTGGGTTTTGGGTGGATGGATGGATGGAGAGAGTGAGAGAGGGAGTGGGAGAGAGAGAGGGAGAATGTTGTCCATGTACAAAATAGTCCACTTACTTTATTCCTTGCTTGCATCATTTTATATAATTTTTCCTTTTCCTATTTTCTTTTCTTTTACCTGAGTGTACTATATTCTGGCCATCTGCTCTCTAACTATAAATAAATTATTACTGTGGTTGTTAAGGTACAAAATGCGGTGTGTCATGCATGACATGATGTGTTCTAGGCCATCGAGGAAAACAAGACAATCTTGGATTTAAAATAACACCCCCTCTGTTGTTCCACCTACCATTTTCTAAGGAAAGAAAAACATCTCTATCTGTATCTGTGTATACAGTCGTATAAAAATCCAAATAAAACCCTGCCAAGTAGGATGTGGAGATGAGCAGGGCAGGCCTATCGTAATGAAGTAAACCAATCCATAAAAGGGAGTTTCCTTTAGAGAAAGGAATCTAACCCTCCAAAGAGCCGCGTTTCCTGGGACAAGATGACAGCTCTGGATTGCTAAGTGACATGATGCCATTTTGACTTTGCCCCCTTAGATTGCTTGGCCTGTGTCGCATAGTCGGCGGGATGAATGCAAGTGGGCTGGAAAAGATGTTCTGGTAAGTAGAAACCTTTACCTTTACTCTCCCACTTTTTCCTCCATTAGGCTGGTCAGTATTTTGTGGCCTTTTTAAAGCTTTGGGTTGCTCTCCCTGGCTGCCTTTTCCATAAATAAATGAAATGTTGGGTCAAGCTTGGACACCGTTCAGTCTCGCTGTTCTCCCCATGTAATGGAGCGAGGGAAGGAGCATATAATTGTCCCCTTATTTAAGACGCCTTAGGAGCCTGACCTGGTTCCTGTAGCCCAGCGGAGGCCCTCAATCTGCCACCCTGGAAGAGACTGGCCTTTGTGAGGCCAGCTTTGAAGGCCTCGGGGGCCTCCCGGGACAAGAACACAAGAACACAATGCCTTCCCCGTGATAATTTCCTTCTTCCCGTTGTGGTTGGAACCAGTGTGTGAGGGGGGGGAAACATTTGTTTTACGCATTCTTTCTCATACCACCACTCTTTCCTCCTCCATTTTTTCAACCCTTCCATTAGATAATACAGGAAATTGTCCAGCTGTTGGGTGCGATTGTCATGCTGGCGGATGATAAATAAATAAAGAGATGGAATTCACTGTAATTATACAGAAACAGAACGCATCCTTTCAAAACAAAAGGGGGGGAAATCACTGTGTTTGCAACAGCAAAAGGCAGCCTAGAGCTTGTCGTCCTGAGTGAATCTTTAGAGGTGGCTTGGTAAAATATTCATAATAGCAGCTGGCAGAAATCTCTGCTCCGTCTCAAGCCATAAGTGAAACAGTCATTAATCAGAATGTGGTTCGGAATCAGGAGTCCAGTATTTAAGATGGCAAAGCTGATCTATATCTACAGAAAGAATTTGCAAAAAATCCCTTGAATAAAGAAGGAAGGATATCATAAAACAGTGGCCCCTGTTTTAAAGATCGCGTTGGGTTAACTTCTAAAGAAGAATGAGCCTTATACTTAAGCCAAACCAACTGCTTTTCCCTAGAACAAGCAAGAGCCAATGTCTTTTGCAAGGTCAAGTTTTAAGAATAAAGAAAATGAATTCTTCATTTTGGCCCCCAAGGAAAAAATAAAAAGTAATATTCAATAGGCTTTCTCTTTCATTACTATCAAGGAGAAAACGGGAAATATGGCCTAAAGAACATTTAAATTAATATAATGAAGGTATTCTTATGATGATAAGTATTCTATATGTTTGAATGTCTAGAAGTTAATAAATCACAGATGTTTGGGGGGGGGGTTAATGTTTTTTTTAATTAAATGAAGTCATTATGAACCTCAATTATTAACCGTCCTAAAGTGAACCACTTTCTCGGGCACAGCCCTTGGCAGCCGTACTATTGCTTATACAAAACAAATATTAACTGTAACGACGTGCGTAGGGTGCATGAACCCCACGGGTAACCTCAGTCGTGACCTGAGATTGAAAGGCAACTATGCTGGCTAGCAGGCTGTGGTTTCCCTCTGCTGGAGTCCATCTCAGGCCTTCCCCGTTAACGTCAATCACGGAGTGCCATGAAATGGATATTGTTGGGATCTAACATTTCAAGGGTCCCCCCCAGACACTGATAAATAGGGAGGCTCCCCGACAGTGCAGACGGAGGGTTTTATTCCCCCAGAAAAGAGAGTTAACAGTTGGGAGGAAATGAAAATGAGGATGGGCCACCCCGTTTCTCATATTTCTGTAATACAACCGCTCACCTCTGTGGGAAACGTTATCCAGTGTGCTCCCTTGTGTTGTACTGGGGTGTGTGCTAATAACATTCCAGTTTGAGTCATTGATTTGATTCCATTTCACCCACATTTCCGATCTGATTCATAAAAAGTGATCCAATCTGATCCAGATGCTTGAATCAGATCATTGTACCAAATCAGCCCAAGAGAAAGAAACATTTCTGGCTGTGCAAACAGGCACTCCCAAATCCTTCCAAAGGATTTGATGTTGGCTGGGCACTGGAGAGACTTAAATCCTGGTCACCCGTCAACCAGGGGAGCCCCACCAGTGGTCTTTGGCCAGTCCCTCTCTCTTAAGTTCATGCTACCCCAGCAGACATACCCATTTTCTCTATAGTAGCAGCCTTGTGAGTTGACTATAAATGAATTAATATCAGAAAAATCATGTATGCATAACATTCAAAGTGCATAGGTTTCAACTCATAAAATCCTTTCTTATTTATAGAGAAGTGGCCAACCTCTGCTGCATCTATAGTGCTTATGAGGTTTTTTTTTCCTATGCTTTGTGTGTTTGTGTGAGTGTGCATGTGCATGTGGGCACACACTGAAAACCTTGGAATTGGCCATTCAGAAATGAAAAATTGGAGGTACTTTGGCACTGATCAACTTGTGCATCATGCATACAAATCTTATGCATATTTATATTCTGCCTTCCAATTTAATAGGCCTCAGAGTTGGTCATCGTTCATAATTCATCACACACATACACACATACTCACACACCCATCACACACCCACAGCCCCTGGGCCCCTGCTTTCTTGTGCTTTCTTGCAAGGAAAATAAGTGGAGCTTCTTTCTTTCACCAAGAATTAGAAGCCAGACGATCTTGATGCTTTTCCTTGGGGGTAGGGAACTGGTTTGTGGGTTAAGCCAAGATATTCACCTTTGCCGTCTCGCAGTCTTTGTTTCTGATCTTTGCAGACCCTGCTTCCAAAATAAAATGAGAACAAATAATTCAGATGTAGCACTTGCCCTTTAATCCACTGTAAATTAAGAGTCTTTCATCTCTTTGAATCTATGTTTGCACTTAGTTGCCAAAATCCTCATGTTTAACTAATGTTTCCCCAGATACGTGGAACAGAAATTTGGATCTAAGATTACTGGGTTCCTCTATGGAACATTTATAAATATTGCTTTATAACAATTGTTTACAATATCTACTAGGGCTCTTCAGATGATGAATGCTCTGAATCAGATCCGAAGCTTCAAACGGATTTAGGAAATCAAATTGATGGATTGATTCAGTTCATCATCAAGTCAACTGCACCCAAAATGGTTGGGGGGGTGACGGAAATTGATGCTTTTCATAAACGGAGTTGGACTTGACCCAACTAATATACATAGAGAAGGCTTTGTATTAAAGATCTGAAGGCTTTTCTTTTTAAATGATAAAGTGATTGCTGAAATCCATTACTGCTTCACGAATACACATGCACTGCTTCCTTTCTGAGATTGTCAGTGGAGGGCCCTTGTCTGAACGTGATGTCAGGGAAGTGGCTATAATTGTTCTTTCCATGAAGTCAGCCCTGGTTTAGTGCCAGCCTTCTTAATCCCTAAAATGTGCTAAGCTCAGAATGTTATGAGAATATGTCAATGCCTGCATAGGAAACTATGTTCTTCTAATTCCATCTTAAATAATAAGAGTCATCACAAAATTCAGGACTGCGGCTTCTTTCAGTGTTAGGAAGAGAAAAACAAAGAAATATAAAATATGTCCAACCTTACAGGCTTCAGCCTGGGAAGAATCAGTACAGCTGAGTGACCCACTCGGGGTTTCTGTCCAGAACAATTATCATAGGTTAAATTGTCCAAAGTGTAACTAGGAGGTTTAACTTTGCTGTTCAAGAAAATTGACTGTTACAAAAGGATGTTTACATAATAGGAGGCTCACACAGCTTGCAAAGAAGTTGAAAAAGATACAAGAGAGATGCATCAGAGAGTAAGGACGACTTGCACCATATATGATGGCAGGCACTGTAACTATATATGGGCTGTGCAGATTATCTAAGACGCAATTCAAGTTTGTGACTCGGCTTAAGTATAAAGTAAAAATTATCCGTGCACCATCTGTACAAACTCCACTGGACCTTCAAACATCTTTCAGTTCAGGATATCAAAGTGATTACCTTTGCAATGTCATAGCAACCCCTAAAATCCCATGTCAACTTCTACCTTCTTCTTCTCCTTCTTCTTCTTGTGCCATATCCGTCAATGGACGTTGGTGATCATGTTGGTGATCCTACTTCTACCACAAACCCTATTTGTGGGGATAATTCTCCTTCTTGATGTGCGTTCCTCTTGGATCCTGTCTGTCTTTGTGTGAGAAGATCTAAGCACACCTGGAGAACTGGCCAGGGTGGGTGAGATCCTTTGTTTGATGGTCGCGTGGACTGAAAGGAATGTGCCCTATATACCCTTTTTGGTGACCAGATGTGTAAGGTAGCACCCACAAGGGTAAAATTTCTCGTGCAACAAGAAGCCTGGACTACAGGACCCAGCTTCGTGGATGCTCCAGGGATGACATGGTGTCCAACACTTTGACGGTTCTTGTTGGTCTTCTGTCGTCTGTGTATCACTTGGGCAGAAGGAAGCTTCCAATAGTCCTTCTAGTGAGATAAGAAGCTAATGCTTTTACTTATTTCATCCAGCCTGATTCACATACAGGGCATGGCCTCAATCCCAATTGCTCCTGATGTGAACATGATGCAGGTTTCCATAATTTTGTACAATTAGAGCACAAGTACATGTCTACTCAGAAATAAATCCCATTGATTTTGCAAAGGTCACTCCACTTTTCTGAAGTCAGGTGATGTCTCAGATAGTATCTTTAACTTTTAAAAGCATTGACTGTACTGTGAAGAAAAGAAAATGTGTAGATTTATACAAGCAAAGGGTTAATTGATGCTCTTTCTATTTTGAGGCCAAGTAACCTCATCTCTGTTGCAATAAAACTTACCTCTGGTTCCGGCCTCGCTTAGTCTCCCCTGGATTAACTGATTTCCACAGCTTTAGAACCTCTGAGGATCTTAGAGGCATGTTTGAAAGAGCAACTTGGCAACTCTTGTTTAAACAAATGTGACTTGATGCCAGATCTTAATTGAAGAGAAACTTTAAACTTCCTTCTATTAAGGTGTTTTGTTCTAATTTTTCCTGTGGGAAAATAAGGAAAGGCAAAATCAAAGTTGCCTTAAACATTCTACAGTTGTGTAGGGAAGTCTATGCAAAGCTCATTGTTGCGCTTCTGTAAGGTATTTGTTGAAAACATACAGACATTGCTAAGCAACTGCTTCGCAGA